CTCAATCCATATTGTAGGCTGCAGTCCTTGACACTCTGCAGCAGGCGCTTCAGGTCCTCCTCAGTTTCAGCAAGCAGGGTTGTGTCATCCGCATAATGCAGATTGTTGATAAATACAATGAATAAACAGAGAAAAAGTTAAATGGAAAATATATGCTGTAAAAAACAAACAAAAACCCCAACAACAATGTATTCTAATTTTGTAAATAAACGAGCAGAAAATTAAAAAAAATTCATTTAAATATAGGTCAGGACATAGTAATCAATTACATCCTATAAGACTAAATTTAGACTTGTCGATACAAAAGATAGGAATATATACTTTAGATGTGGGTGGGTTTTGTCTCCTTATTTATGACTGGTCTGTTCATGTGCCTTGAAAAATCACTTCTAATAAGTAAAACCATCCAGATAGATTAAAAGTTTGCTTTTACTGATATTTTATGGCCACAGTCACATAAATTTCTTGGTTCTTTTTTGTCTTAGTTTTTCCCTAGCAAAAGTGGTACACAGGTGCTAAAGGAAGCTAGTGGATGGAGCCGTAGGCATCTGTTATTACTAGTGCTGCAGAATGCCAACAAAAGTTAAAAGAGGGGAAGATATATAATCCAAACCTCAATATTATCATTGACTTAATTTATGTCTTAAATCTAAATGCAGAATTTATGATAGGTCAGCTGGAACACATGGCCCATTTCAAAGGTGTAAGAGACTCCATTCTTCTTCTCCAAAACCAGCCCCAATCTCATCATTCTCCAGGACACCAGGAACACCCACAGGTGAATGATTGGGTGTTCATATTAAAATAGGAATGAGGGCAGGATCAACGTCAGCTTAATGCTTTTATCACATGGAAAATCAGGAAGGAAAAATGGCAGTAGAGTCATTTGGATATGTAAAACTTTTAAACACACCTTAATGCTATCAGCTTGTTGGCACTTCAGCATCTTATCCCAATATGATAATATTCCTAAGTGCCAAAAATAAGCAAAGTGAAAGGTTAACACTTTTCTTATTTTCCATTCACTAACACACACATTCTACCAAAGTGGAAGAAGTTGAGCTACATTGTATGATGCTATTTCCATCTATCTATGTTTAAGAGGAATATCTGCAGAGATGCCACATTATTTATTCTTATATTGTTAATGATGAATGCTTATATATACTACTGTCCATGACTTATGTGGTGATGTTGAAAGAGTATCAGAAGAGGAAGAAAACAGTGTGGACTTGATAGAGACCCTTCATTTGGATTCTGAGACTGTATTTCTTTATAGGAAGTGACTGCTTTTCTTTGTTCCATGAGGTAGATGATGGATTCAAACTGCTGACCTTTTGGTTAACAGTCCAACACATATTGTACTATACCAGCAGAGTACTTTGTATTGATTAGTAGGCAAGAAAATTTCGTTTTCTGGGCATCAATTTTCTCATTTCTAAAATTCCGATTCCAGAGCTGTTCTCAAGAGCAAATAAAGTAGTGTTTTGCCAACAGAAGCACAAGTGTAAATAAATAGCCCATTAAATGATTCACTTTAAATCATTAACTTCCTTTTCATCAAAAACCATGGCAGCCTGGAGATACTGGCTGAATGATAAAGGTTTGAAGAAGATATATCAGAAATATTCAGATATTAGAGATACTGAGGAATGCATTTGCCTTATTTATCATCACCTTCTAACTCTTCCTTCAACATGACACAGATTTCTAAGAAATTGATGAAATGCAATTGACAGACATTGGTTCAGATCCCATCCTTGGCAGAAAATTTCCATACCTACAATAAAACTGCAAAGAAGATGCAAAGAATACACTGAGTCACTGTATTGAAAGGAATTGGTAGGCACAGAAGAATTTAATGAAACAACATATGAGCAAGAGACCGTGGTGATGAAAGAAGTTCAAGCTGTTTTGAAGGAAATAGCAGAAAACAAGACCCCAGGAACAGATGTTATACCAATTGACGTATTTCAGCTAACAGATGCCACCCTGGACGTGCTCACCAAGTTGTGCCAAGAAATCTGGAGAATAACCACTTGAACAACCGACTGGAAGAGATCTATATTTGTTCCAAAGAAAGGTGACCCAACAACTTGGAAACTATAGAACAATATCATTGATTTCACGTGCAAGATTCTACTGAAGATTATCTAAAAATGACTGGAGCAGCACATCACCAGAGAACTGCCAGAAGTCCAGGCTGGGTTTAGAAGGGGTCGTGGTACTAGGGATATTGTAGCTGATGTTAGATGGATCTTAGCTGAAAGCAGGGAATACCAGAAGAATGTATATCTTTGTTTCATTGATTATGCAAAGGCATTTGACTGTGTGGATCATGACAAACTGTGGCTGACTCTGAGGAGAATGGGAATCCCAGAGCACTTGATTGTTCTAATGGGAAATCTGTACTTGGACCAAGAGGTAGTCCTCAGAACAGAGCAGGGAAACGCTGCATGGTTCAAAATTGGGAAAGGTGTGTGCCAGGGATAAGGTCCTATCTCCACACCTTTTCAAGCTGTATGCAGAACAGATTATCTGAGAGGCTGCACTCTCTGAGGAGAATTGTGGCATCAGGATTGGTGGAAGATCTATTAATATTCTGCGTTATGCAGATGACACAACCCTGCTTGCTGAAACTGAGGAGGACTTGGTGTACTTGCTGCAGAGAGTCAAGGACTGCAGCCTTCAGTATGGATTGAGGCTCAGTGTTAAGAAGACAAAGATTCTCACCACTGGACCAATTGGCAGCATCAGGATGGATGTTGAAGAGATTGAGACTGTTAACAACTTTAGTTTGCTTGGCTCCACAGTCAACACTCTTGTTACCAGCAGCCAGGAAATGAAAAAAAAAAAAAAAACCACAACATATTACGATGGGAAAGTCTGCTGTTAGGGACCTCTCCAAAGTACTGAAGAGCAATGGTGTCACTCTGGAGACTAAGGTGCGTTTGATAAGGCTATAGTCTTTGCAATCACTTGTTATGCATCAGAGAGTTGGACAATTACTAGGGAGGATAGAAGGAGAATTGATGCCTTTGAGCTGTGGTGCTGGAGAAGAGTATTGAATGTATCATGGACTGCCAAGAAAACAAACAGATTCATCCTGGAGAGGGTTAAACCAGGCTGCTTCTTGGAGGCAAGAATTCTGGGGCTTCATCTGACATATTTTGGACATGTTGTAAGGAGAGACAGGTCCTTGAAGAGGGACATCATGCTTGGGAAGGGTGGAGGGACAGCGCAGGAGGGGAAGACCGTCTATGATTGATTCAGTCACTGGGGTAATCGGGATGGGTGTGTCAGAGGCAGTGTGATTGGCACAGGATAGAACAGGGTTTAGGGCTGTTGTACATAGGGTCACTATGAGTCACAAGTGACTCGATGGCACATGACAACAACAACAACAACAGCAACAACAACAACAACAATAAAACTGGGCTATGGATGAAATATCCCACTACCTTTCCTCTCACTTTAACTTTGCAAAGTATATGACCCTTTTTCTAAAGAGACTGATGGAGGAAAACCATTTAGAAAAAAAGTAATCAATTGAGGGCCTTTTTTATTAAAAAGAGGGTTTTGAAAAGAAATCTAATGTGAGAAGACAGTTTTTTTTATTGAAACTCCTCATTTGCTCTTACTCCTACAGAATAGAAAAGCATACTACAGAATTTAAGTTCTTTCCTAAAATTCATGTTTAGATTTGTGAGTTACAAGAGGGACAAAGAGTGTTAGCTCTTTACCGAGCTTTGCATGTGGTGTATTATGAGATGATTTTAGTTTAAACATGCTTTTCCTCACTTTGTGTGAGTTTAAGTCATCTCTTTAACCTATACCCAAATGAAGAGCTTAAATATGTTGATTCAATTGATACTGGATAAAACTAGAAACACATGCATAAATTTATTTTATAGTTTCTTATTAGATCATCAGTTAGATACCTGAAAAGAATGAAACAATGTCACAGATATCCAATATCCAATTTAATAAGTCTGATCTATTAAAAATCTTAAATTCAGGAGAGCATTCAGGAAAAGAACAATCTAGAAGGAGGAGCTACCTAGGCTCTCAGCATGAGCATCACATTTGTGCTTTTTCTCAGGATTGGTTTCCCATCTGGACTATTAGGTGATGGCATTTGCCAGACATATAATTCTGAATATTTGAATCATTTCCTATTATAGCGATTCATTCCCCCCTTTAATGAAATATAATTTCAATGGACAATAATTCATGAGACCATGGAAAGAAGCTGTGGTTTTTAAATTTGGTGAGAACAGAGAAACATTCTATGTTCTTAAACACTATTTCCAGTCACCTGATCATTTTTGCTCTGGAAAATTGCCACATTTCCTTTCTGCTTTACTATTTGAGAAAAAGAAATAGGATCCAGACTAATGCAGTGTCACGGAAATTGTTCTTCCCACATAGGATTGAAATCAATGTTTTGGCAGGGAAATTGTTTTCCCCACAGCTCTACAAAGTGTTACTGTTTAAGAAAAAGAAATAAGATTCAGATTAATGTTGTGGTAGGGAAATTGTTCTTCCCACAACTCTGCGAAGGGCTGATTTGAACTCTTTATTTCTCAAGCTGTAAATCATCGGGTTGAACAATGGAGTTAGGATGGTGTAGGACACTGAGATCAGAGCATCCTGGCTTGAGGAGTAGTTGGATTTAGGTCTTAAGTAGATAAAGGAGGCACAGCCATAGTGCACAGTGACGACAATGAGATGGGAAGCACAGGTGGAGAAGGCTTTGTACCTGCCCGTCGTAGAAGGAAACTGGAGTATGGCAGAGATGATGTGGATATAGGAGACTAAGATCAACGACAGTGGGATAACGAGGACCAACGCACAAAGCAGGAAGATGACAATCTGACTGAAGTAAGTATGGTAAGATGCCACCTTGAGGACAGGGGAAATGTCACAGAAGAAGTGATGGAGTTGGTTGGAGGAGTGAAAGGGCAGATTAAAAACCAGCGATGTGATAATTTGGGCCACAGTGAAGCCACAGGCACACGCAGCAGCCACTAGTCCCACACATACTCCATGTCCCATGAGCACTGTGTAGCGCAGTGGGTTACAGATGGCCACGTAGCGATCATAACCCATGGCTGCCAGAAGAAAGGAGTGAGAGCAGCCAAGAAAGAGGAAAGTAAACATCTGGATGGCACAACCCAGGAAGGAGATGGTCTTCTTCTGGGCCAGCAGATCAACCAACATCTTGGGTACAATGACAAATGTATAGCAGGTCTCAGAGCAAGAAAGAACAGCAAGAAAGAAGTACATGGGAGTGTGAAGGGCCCTGTCCAGCACAATGGTGGAAATGATGATGACATTGGTGCCCAGGGTGAAGAGGTAGAGGAGGAGGAAAACAATGAAGAGCAGCTGCTGCAGCCCGGCCAGAGATGAGAAGCCCAGGAAGACAAACTCTCTCACCACCGTCTCATTAATCCACTCCATGTAGAGCACATTCTCAGGGTTCAGTCTGCGAATGAGGAAGAGGCTGTGGCAAGATAAATCCCTGAACCATCGATTACCTCATACATTCAAAGTTTTATTCTGAATTCATCATCTTTCCTTCTTCTTATTTCTACAAAATATGAAGCAGCATTTACAATTAGACAGTGTGCATTTAACTTTGAGGATTCAAAGTAGGTCTCGTATCATAGCTAAAAAACCTTAGCATTTCTTAGTCAATTACCCCTTTATCACCATTCCAATGATGAGTTCACTGTTAAGATTCTTGGCTATCACTCTTAGAGTATCTTGTAACTCCATTTGGGTTCTTTGCCTTTGTATTTCCCAAAGAAACCTTTCTTGCAGATACCAAATAAACTATCTAAATATACCACATTTATACATAATTTCCCTAATCTCAAATAATATTAATTATTATAATTTTCATTACACCATAACTCTTCCCTTTAGTTTCTATCTCAACACAATTTGCACTAATCCCTGGAAGGACCCATTAACACCTCCTTACATCCTCATGATATTATTCAGTTGTTTTTCCAAAGGCTGAAAAAAGTTCATCCCTTTTATTCTCCATGTATCGGTTGCAAAATGAAATTCATAGTCTTCCTTTAACACTCTTCTTCATTTTCATTACTTTCCTAAAGTCTGCTGAAGTTACATTACACTTTTTTTTTCTTTTCACTGTCACTTATCTTCAATCTATCTTTCCCTGGTGCCACACTTTGTTGTTATGTGCCATTGAGTCTCATGCAACAGATAGCAACTTTATGTACAACAGCTCTGAATACTGCTCTGTCCTGGTAGTCTCCTTTAAAATTTTATGCGTTGGAACTCAACGAAAGATCACTGTGACTTGACTAAGAGTGGGTTTTGTTTTGTTTTCATTTGTGTTTCTTTTATAAATATACTGAAATTTTGGTAAATAAGAGGATAATTATAAGAATAACCTCATGCTTACCTTTATAATTGAAATTTTAGCATATTGAAATTAAGGTAAATAGCAGGAAAATTGTAAGGATAACCTTGTTTTTATCCCATTAAGCTGATGTTAATTGTTGTGTTGTTGTTATGTGCTATCAAGTCCCCTGCAAGTTATAGTGATCCTATGTACAATGGCCCTAAACCATGCTCTATCCTCTGCCAATCTCATGGTCTCCAACACACCTACCCCCATTATCCAAGTCACTGAATCAATAAATTTCATCGAGGTCTTCCTCTATTGTGCTGTCCCTCTGCTCTCCAAAGCATGATGTCTTTCTCCAAGGACTGGTCACTCCTTGCAAAATGTCCAAAGTATGTAAAATGAAGCTTCAGAATCCTTGCCTCCAAGGAGCAACCTGGTCTCATTCTTCCCAGGACGAAACTGTTTGTTCTCTTAGCAGACCATGGCATATTCAATACTCTTCTGCAACACCACAGCTCAAAGGCATCAATTCTCCTTCTATCCTCCCTCGTCATTGTCCAGCTCTCTGATTCATAGCAAGTGATTGCAAAGACCATGGCCTGGATCAGACGCACCTTAGTCTCCAGACTGACATCATTCCTCTTTAGTACTTTGGAGAGGTCTCTGATAGCAGATCTTAATTAATATTAATAAAAAGGTTAATAACAATATATCCTATATTAACCAAAGACCATGGAATCAAGAATATTAAGAAGTATATAACATATATTAAGCACTATGTTTTAAAAATGGCTACATTCTTCATAAAATCCAATCTCTCAAAGGATTTGTTCAAGAACAGACAAAAATCAACAACCTGTATTATATGACACAACCTTGCTTGCTGAAAGTGAGGAGGACTTGAAGCATGTCAATATAGATTGCATTTAAACATGAAGAAAATTAAAAAATAAAAATTCTCACCTCTGGACCAATAGGCAGTGTTATGGTAATTGAAGAAAATATAGAAATAGTCAATGATTTAATTTTGCTTGGATCCACAATCAACACCCCTGCTATCAGTGATCAAAAAATCAAATTGTTTCGTTTGATTAGGGAAAATCTGATGTCAGGGACCACTCCAAAATGCTAAATATTGATGATGTCAGTTTGAAAACTAAGGTATGCCTGATCCAAACCTTGGTTTTCATGATTACTTCCTATGCATCTGAAAATGGAAATGAATAAAGATGATAGAAGAAGAATCGATGCTTTTGTGCTGTGGTGATGGAAAAGAACAATGAATATTTTTTTACCCTCTACCTCGTTAACAGTTTCAGTTTACTTGGCTCCACAACCAACACTCTTGGTAACAGCAGCCAGGAAATCAAGAGATGAATTGCATTGGGAAAGTCAGCTATGAGGGACCTCTCAAGAGTACTGAAGAGCAATGACGTCAGGCTGGACACTAAGGTGCTCCTGATCCAAGCTACAGTCTTTGCAATTATGTGCTATGCATTGGAGAGTTGGACAGTGAATAGGGTTGGTAGAAAGAGAATTGATGCCTTTGAGCTGTGATGCTGGAGAAGAGTGTAGAATATACCATGGACTGCTAGGAGAACAAACAGGTTTGTCCTGGAGAGGGTGAAGCCAGAATGCGCCCTGGAGTCAAGGATTCTGAAGCTTCATCTGACATACTTTGGGCATGTTGCAAGGAGGGACCTGGTCCTTGGAGAAGGACATCATGTTTGGGAGAGTAGAGGGACAGCGCAGGAGAGGAAGACCTTTGGTGAGATGGATCGATTCTGTGAATGGAGTGGTGGGAATGGATGTGTTTGAGATGGCGAGGATGGCACAGGATAGAATAGCGCTTAGGGCTCTTGTACATAGGGTCGCTATGAGTCTCAAGCGACTCTATCGCACATAACAACAACCTCAACATGTTCAAAGTACATTATACTTGTAAAGGTGGAGGAGTGTTAGAGAGGAAGATTCTCAACAAGATGATTGACACAGTGACTATAACAGTGGGCTCAAGTATATCAGATATAATGAGAATGACACAGGATAGGGCAAGATTCAGACACATTTTTTAAAGCGTAGTTATAAGGTGCAGTTGACTTGACAGTAAAAAAACCAATAATCATAGTACTGAAAACTATGTGTTGGGTAATGTGCTAAGGTGCACATATAAATAAAACCCAACTCAAGTTCCTTACATTTCAAAGATGTGGCATATTTAGAGTAAGATTATTATAAGATTAAAATAATGGATATATACTTGAAATTACATCTTTTGTACATTCTTTGTAAAGTAAATATTTTTAAAAGATTTTGATAGAAAAGTTGAACTACAGCAAGCTTACAAAAATATTATGATGTTGGGTGCTTTTTAGTTTCTGCCACCTTAATCCACATACGTCAGAAGTTTAATTAACCACAGTTGGATCTTTCAGCCTCTGAGTGAATGCTATCTGGCCCTTGGTGTTTTCTGATTCTATAAATACATTTAAAGTTTTATCAAACCCTACAGATCAGACAAATATATTTTTTTCATCCATTTAAATATCTTATTCTTTTTGCCCCTTGTTCAACACAATGTTGCTTTTGTTTATTTGTCTAATCATCCTCAATAATAATAAATTGCTTGTTACTATATTAATTATTAGCTTTCTAAAACTGACCTCCTTAGTTCTCAGAACTCCTAATGAATTTTCCACATACCATCTGGAGTTTTACCTTCATTTTTTAATGTAAATGTAAAATTGAACTAAGTAAATGATTTTTATCTTAGACAGATATAAGCTTAAATTGTACCCCTGATGTTTTCTTGTGGTGGTTGTGTGCCATCAAGTTGAAACTGACTGATAGCTCACCCTCAGGCAGGTTTTCACAGGCAATTAATCATATGGGTACAGATTGCACATGTTACTGGGGATGGGAGGTGGGAATGCAGGAGCAGCAGGTTGATTCAAGCTGCCTGCCTTCAGGATTGCAGTGCAGCTTCTTACCACGAGGCCACCAGAAGCAAATTTTCTCATTTTTATGGGAGAAGTGCAATTCTTATTGCCAGGGCTTTTGTGAGAATAAATTGGAAGTATACACAGAAAAGAAACTAATTCAATAAATGTTGTGTGCTGTTCAGCCAGAACTACCCATAGCTTACCCTCCATCCAGCACGTTTTCAGTAAATCACACTGGAGGAAATTACCCATCCTTTTCTTGCAGAGTAGTTGGTGGATTTGAAATACAAGTCTATGGATAACAGTGCAACTTCTGGATACTCAATAATTAAGGAATCTTAGTGGTGGCTAAGCGTTTTGCTTAAAAGATTGGCAGATTGAACTCACCAGTCACTCTACAACAAGAAAGGCATATTCGTCAGCCTCCTTAAAGCTTTAAAGACCCTGTGGAGCAATTCAACCCTGTCCTGTAGGATTGTTATGAGCCAGAGTCAATTGAAAGCAATGGATTTTGGATTGTTTGTTTGTTTTCTTAATCTGTCAATATTTCCCCCCCTTTCATTACTTTGTTATTGCTGTGCAGAAATTGGGATCAGAAATATTTTGATTTTTGATGTTAATGAACATTTAACTCTTAAAAAAAATGTTGAAACTGCCTTGTCTGTACTTTCCCAGGGAGGAGCATTTAAGAGAGATCTTTATTTCCTTAAAGCTTGCCTGGCTAAAAGTAACTTAGTTTTCTATGGGGTACTGCTCTGTATTGAGAGGGAAGAAAAGGGTTACCTTTGGTAACTGGTCAGTATTCCCTATGCATGTTCCTAACAACTAATAGAAAGTATAGGAAGTTTACTAAATTGTCTAGTTTGGGGGGAGATGAGGATAGACTTAGAAGATTAGATTGTTAGCAGTCTTAGTCTTATACATATATAAATTAAAGTGTTTTTCATTATAGATGCTTTTGTAATTATTGAAGTTGCATATTATGTAAAGCATTTTTTATATACACACTTGTGTATCACCATAATCTATTTTGAGCTCCTGAAAACTAAAATTATGTGAAACAGCCCTGAAGATTCTTTTTTAAAATTTTGTTCTAAGCATATTCTAAGCACTATAGATATAAATATGAATAAAAT